CCCAACAGCTTAACAAGCTCACACCAGGCACATGTGCATGCATGCCCAAAATCACAGGAGGAGAATGGAGGAGAAGGGATTGTGGTGTGGCTATGTCCCCCTTTGGAGTGACTTCTCACTTTCTGTCTCTCTGTCTCTCTCTGTCTCTCTTGTGAGCACATGAGCCCTATAGCAAAAATCTCTGCTAAAAATAAATATATGACACTCTACAACATAATGCCACATGGGAAGGTTCTTGTTTCAAGTCCAAAGATCTCCCTAAGTATGCCAAGCATACACATGCCCATGATCCAGGCTGGTGGACGACTAGGGGATAGATCATGGTATCTAGTCCCTGTCAGAAACACTGTCTATTCATGTATGTTTGTGTGTGTCTTAAACATGGAAGAAATCAATAAGTAAACTTTAAAAAGAAGCTTTACTTAGCCATTCCCTACTGTATACAAGTACCAAATTATTATAACAAAATAATTAGATACAGAATAATGCAATGAATTACAAAAATATTGGGTTCTCAGAGAAGTCACAATGTATTTTTCTATCTTTCTATGCATACATGCGTCATCACTTTTCCAGCAACCCAATAAAAGAAAAAAAAGCAAACAATACCAAAAACATGTTTATGGGTACTGAATTAGATTTACATTGGATTATTATATGTACTTCCACCATGATTCCTGTGGAAGGTAGTATTATCACCATTGTACAATGGACAAAGCTGAAACCAAGAAATGGAGAAACAAGCTACACAAGCAAGGGCCTGACTCAGTAATTCATCAACTCAGGACCAACTTCCAACCTGTACCTTGTCTGCATCCTGTGCTGAATCTCCACCAGTACTGGAGGGCAAGGAACAAGAATCTAAAGAGAATCAGAACTGCATTTTGATGATATGCTGTGTTGAGAGAGAAAGGAAGCCCATTTCAAGTGAGATGTTTAAAAATTTTACAGAGCAAGGGCCTGACTCAGTAATTCATCAACTCAGGACCAACTTCCAACCTGTACCTTGTCTGCATCCTGTGCTGAATCTCCACCAGTACTGGAGGGCAAGGAACAAGAATCTAAAGAGAATCAGAACTGCATTTTGATGATATGCTGTGTTGAGAGAGAAAGGAAGCCCATTTCAAGTGAGATGTTTAAAAATTTTACAGGATTTGTTTATTTTTATTTATTTATTTATTTATTTCTAAAATAGTTGCAGCTTCTCAAGGTGTAGTCACATGTTATGAAAAGAGAGCTTGTAATTCTTGTTTAGATAGGACATTGCCTTCTGCTTCTGCCTTCGGAGGACGTTGTGATTGGATAATCTCTCCATGTCAAGATCCTCAACTTAATCATGTCTGTAAAGACCATTTGTTTCTTATTTTTTAAAAGAATTATGCTAAAAAGGATTATGATAATAATAAATCAAATTAAATGAAAAAATAAAAGAATTTTGCCAGAGGGTGCATGAGCTTTCCAGAGAGAGAAAGATAGGAAGTGAGAAAGCAATGTCCCCCCTGCCCCCCACTGCAGTATGGTCATGCTGCAATCGCTTCTCTTCCATTTCTCCTTCCTGTTGGGAATTTGGGAACTGCACACATGCATGGTTCTCAAGATGCTGGGTCTGGGTCTTGAACCATGCAGTCAGCCATGTGACATCCAGCCACCTCAACTACCATGCCACCAGCTGTCCTGACCCTTATTTTCTTAAAACATTTATAGGTTTCAGGAATCAGGCCCTTATTTCTTTCTTTTTGAGTGGACTTGAAAATGTCCTATCATCCTAAGTAGTAAAATAACTTGAACATGCGTTTATAATGCCTAGTTCTGTAAGTCCCCCAGGATAGTCCTATAAGTCATTTTCAGTTAATGTAAACAAAACAGCCACATTTCTTTCTGCTACATTCCCAGAAATGGATTTGCTTTATCAAAGGATTTGAACATCGAAAATGCTAAAACACAGTGTCAAAAGACTCTTCAAAGAAGTAATTACTGCACATTCAGCCATTACGCTAACTGCTGGTCCTCTATTAAAGCTTTTAGGTCTAGAAGATTTGTATAACAATGTGTGAGAAGTCTCAAAGTCACTTTCATAAGGGAAACAGTCTTTTTTGTTGTTGTTGTTGAGAGAGAGATTTTTTCTAGAGAGCTCATGTGCTCACCAGAGAAGATACACAGAGAGACAGAGAGACAAAAAGTGAGAAATCACCCCCAGGGGGACCAGCAGTTGGCGTAATGGCTATGCCACTGGACTCCCATGTAGTTGACCATGGTTTGAGTCCCAGACCCAGTGGCTTATATTCACTCTGGGCATATGTGCGTGAGTGCCCAAGAACTTGAGAGGAGAATGGAGGAGAAGGGATTGTGGCATGGCCATCCCCCTGGGGGGTGATTTCTTGCTTTCTGTCTGTCTCTCTCTCTCTGTCTTTCTGGCAAGTGCATGCACCTTATAGCAAAAACCTCTAAAAATATAAATAAGTAAAAATAAATGAAAACAAATCACCCCCAGGGAAAATGGTCATGCCATAATCCCTTTCCTCTGTTCTTCTCTCAGGATTTTGCACACACATGCATGAGGCTTGGGTTTTAAGTCACTGAGTTGGAGACTGAACCATTGTCAACTACATGGGAGTCCAGCAATGTAACCATTATGCCATCTGTTGAATAGTTTTGTTTTTTTTTTTTTTTTTGGACAGGTTTTTACTATAGGGTGCATGCATTTGCTAGAAAAACAGAGAGAGACAGAGAGATAGAAAACGAGAAATCACCCCCCCAAGGGGGATGGTCACACCACAATCCCTTCTCCTCCATTCTCCTCTCGGGACCTTGGGCATGCACATACATGCACCTACGTGAGTTTCAGCCACTGGGTTCAGGACTCGAACCACAGTTGACAATATGGGTGTCCAACTACACAGACATTACGCCAACTACTGGTCCCTATGACAGTCTTTTAAAGCTCATAATTAGAAATGAATAATTTAATTTTCCTGTAGAGAGTTTTGCCTTAAGGTGTATGCACAAACCAGAGAGAATGAGAGACAGAGATAATGAAAGGGAAAGTGAGAAATCCTCCAGGGGGATAGCCATGTTACAATCCCCTCTCCATCTTCCTCCCAGGATCTTGGGCATGCATGCACACATGCCTGGTGTGAGTGTCACTCCACCAAGTCCAGGACTTAAACCACAGTCAGCCATGTGGGCATCCAGAGACATGCCACAATGACACCTGCTGGCACCCATATGTAATTTTTTATATTCAACAAATATGTATCTCCACTCTAGAATATTTATTTGAATAAATATCCATATCCCAATGTTCATTTAATTTTAAGTTTATTTTTTTCTACATGTAAAAAAAGAGACAGAGAGAGAGAGAGAGAGAAGGCTGCCAAAAGGGTCTGTGGGCTGTGATCAACTATAGCCTCAGCCATCCTGGACTCATGTGAGTATGCCAGGGTAGGCCTCACCTACTCAGGGAAGGTGTCTGCTTGAACCAAGAATCTTCCCATGTGGGATTGCCTTGAAGAGCATGGTGCTTTACTGTAGCACAACCATTTGCCACCCAGCCCTTCCCTGTCCCTGTGTGCTTTTATACTTCAGGATGAGTGACACTTCATATTTTTGTTGAATTTTCAATATCATCACTTGAAAAATCTCACAGAATCTCAAACAAGGAGTCATAGGCAGAATAACGGCCCACAAAATGTCCACATTCTAATCCCCAGAACTGGTACTCTGTTGAGCTAGGTGTCAGAGAGGAAATAGGTTGCAATGGAGTTAGTGTTTCTAGTCAGATTCATTTAAATTATGACGATTATCCTAGACTACTAGGAAGAATACATTGTCATCACAAGCATTCTTAAAAGTGAAAAGAGGGAGGAAAAAGAAGAGAATTACAGGTAGACATGACTATGGAAGAAAGGCACAGAGACACACAAATAGTGCTTGCCTTGAAGATAGAGAACAGGATATCCACTATGGAATTAGGGCGGCTTCTCAGCACTAAAAGGGAAAAGGAATGGATTCTCCCCAGAGCCTCTAGAATAAATGCAGCCTTCCTGATACCTTGACTTACAGACCAATGAGATCTGTGTAAGATTTGTAACTCACAGAACAGCAAGATAATACATTGGTATTTTAATCTGCTTAAGTTTCTGGTAATTTGCTACAGCAGTCATATGAAATTAATACACATGACTTTTTTTTCATATAAGAAAAAAGAGATGAGAAATTGGTAAAGTTTACATGGATATTGAAGGGGGAGAGTAAAATGAGGATACATATTAGAAAAAGCCTCATTAAGTGTTGTTGATTTTTTTCTCTTACTGAGTAATATTACTACAAATCTTACAGAAAATGAGACATGTAATCTTGCCGCAAATCCCAAATGACTGCCCTCAATCTTTTATAAAGACTCAAAGATACCTTGAAAAGTTCAATATTGTCATAGAAAACCCATACTCACCAACTAGTCCCAAGGTCAGAAGCAAGCAGGGAAAAATCCTGAATAAAATGTCAGTCTATACAGGTGGCTTAAAGCCATGAACATACTAAATCTCTCTGGGGCAATAATATGCTTTGACTTCAAATGTCTCTATCTACTTCTTTTTGTTCTCTTCTTTGTAATGATCCTTGTATTATGTTTGCACTAATCACCAGCATCAATAGGTAAATGGTGATGGGGGTAATAAATTCTATAAAACACTCAGTGTATAGGACAGATTTATAATCTTCATTAGAGTACATAAAATACATGAATAAAAATAAAAAAGTGGATCATTTTTTATCTTAAAGTAGAGGTGGCCCTAGCAGTTTCATATGAAACATGGCTGATATAATGATGATTGCAGTGGGGGTACAGTGGGGAAGAGGAGGTGAAGAGAAATAGTAAACATTTATAAGTATGCCTTAATTAAAGATAACAAGACCATTTCTCTCATTTTAGACATTATTCAAAGAGAAGCCACAACATAGTTTGAATTAAAATCAACTCCTGATGCTCTTTTATATTGCAGAGAATATTGGATTGGATTCTGAAGTTGCTAAAGCAAACACCTTGGGTTTTGTTGGGTGCCTGTCTTCAGTGCAGTACAACCACATAGCACCCCTGAAGGCAGCTCTGCGTCATGCCACCATCGCACCTGTGACCGTCCAAGGGACATTGACAGCATCCAGCTGTGGCTCCATGATGGATTCAGATGTGAATGCAGTGACCACTGTGCATTCGTCATCAGGTACATTCAGGGGCAGATCTTGTGAGCAGCCTCCACTAGCCTTACTTTTGGTGTCTTCAAGAAACTTCCACATTAAAGGGTTGACTGACATTACTCAATTCTTTACTTGGTATAATTTCAGTTGGTTAAAGATTATGACTGATTTCTCTTGAGTTGTTTTTATATATACCTAATAAAGTTCTACTTTTAATATATTAGAACTAAATGATTAGAATAATAGAATATATAATGATTAGAATATTAGAACTAAATACATAGTTGAATATATTACATATATGTACAATATATGTCTTTATGAATGTGTGTGTGAGGGTGAACATAATCACTACAGTTTAAGTGGCTACCACTGTGAAAATTAATGATTTGGGGGGAACACAGGAGCAATTAGAAAATTGCTAGACAAATATTATAATTTATGTGATTAAAAATAGCCTTAGTTTCTCAGATTTATTGAAGAAAATTGACAGTAATTGCATATATTGATTATTTGATTAAAGTATACATTTTAATAATTACAAAAACTAAATTACTCAACACATTCATTGCCACACATGGTTAGGTTACCCTTTGTCTGTATACATATGTGTATGTCTGTTGAAGACATATATACTCTCATAGAAAACTACAAGTAAAATTACAATATAATGAATGATAGTCACTATGCAGATTATAAAAATTAGTTCATCTTAAAGCTGAAAGTTTGGGGAACCAGCAGTTAGCGTAATGGCTATGTCGCTGGACTCCCACATAGTCAACCGCAGTTCGCGTCCCGGACACGGTGGCTTAGAACTCACGCCAGGCACGTGTTCGTGCGTGCCAAAGATCTCGGAAGGAGAATGGAGGAGAAGGGATTGCGGCGTGACCATCCCCCCTGGGGGGTGATTTCTTGCTTTCTGTCTCTATGTCTCTGTCTGTCTGTCTGGTGAGCGCACGCACCCTATAGCAAAAACC